AATACTGGGGCATCATGCCTGGGGTACCAAGCCGTGGGGCTGAATACGGGGGTACTGTGCCCGGGGTACCAAGCCATGGGTCTGAATACCCGGGTTCTGGGGGTATGAACACTGGGGTACAGCCTGCTCCCCAATGCCACGGGCAGAGGGCCTCACCATTGACAAAGAGGGCGACCTCCCGCTCGCCCACGCCGATCCTGGGCACGATGGCTTTGCAGATGTACTGCCCGGCGTCGGCCTGCGTCACCGACTTCAGGTAGAGTTGGTTGCTGTTGCTCAGCACCTGGGCACAAACGCAGGGCGCAGCGTGAGAGGGGGGCACGTACGGAGACCCACCGTCGCTAGCACCCACTGCGGGGAACGGGCCAGGTGAGCCCCTCGGCCATGGGGCGCTGGGAGGGGAATTACCATGTTGGATTCCTTTTTGGTCCAGGTGAGGGTCAGCGGGGGGTTGCCGGCCCACACGCACGTCAGCGTCACATCCGAGCCGATGTCGGTGGTCGTGGGCTTGGGGTCCACCACGATGCGAGGGGCGACTGCAAGAGAGGAGACGTCAGCGGCCCTGCATGCGTGGGGGTGTTCCTGGCTCCCGTGGGTGGGCGTGGCCGTGTGTCCCCGTGGGTGTGTCCAGGTGTGCTCATGGCTTGTGTGAGTGTGGGTCCCCATGTCCATGTCTTCCCATGTGGTGTTCATCCCCGTGCTTGTGGTTCATCTGTGTGTCCATCCCCGGGTGTGTGTGCTCAGAGCTTATGTCTGTGTCCATGTGTGTGTGTGTGCGTGTGTGCTCACAGCTTATGTCTGTGTCCATGTGTGTGTGTGTGTGTGTGTGCGCATGTGTGCTCATGGCTCATGTGTGTGTGTTCTTGTGTGTGTGAGGGCACGTGCTTATGGCTTGTGTGTGTGCGCATGCCCCAGGTGTGCATGTATGTGCTCAAGGCTCGTGTGTGAGCGTGTCCGTGTGTGTGCACGTGTGTTCATGGCTTGTTTGTGCGTGTCCCCGCGTGTGTCCCCGTGT